AGGGGAGGGATTTCTGGTGGCAAAGGTCAGAGGTTAAAGGGGTGGGATTTCTGGTCCCAAGATGGCAACCAGGGGCAGGGCATCTGTCAAGGGGCGGGGCAATTCATGTGGCCCTCAACAGCTTGCTAAAACTTGGTAAGTGGCCCTCCACCCAAAATAATTGCCTGCCCCTGGTTTAAAGTCTACAGCTTATTCAATCCTTGATTCTCCAAGGAGGCCCCAACAAGGTGCCAACTAAGCTGTGGCAGAAGAGCAAGAGCAGCTCATTCATTACAGCTGGTTCAGTGTCCATCAGTAATAAAAGGTCATTAACTTTCCACATCAGGTATGAATTTAGAGCCTAAAAGGCAAGAGAGGAGGAGGTATCTGGTCCTTCCCCATGTTCATTCATTTGCATGTCCGTGCTTCATGACTGTGCAAGGCAGAAAAGCAGGGCCAGTTCCACTTTTCATTGCTCAAGAGCCAATGCTACCTGGAGCTACATGCCACAGGATGTCTGCTCTGTCAAGCAGGGACTGCTTGGCTGGCATTGCATACATGCTGCCCAGCACACTAGGAACCTAGACCCTGACTACAGCTCTTAGGCACCAGCTCGAAACAGGCATGTTAGAGCAGCAGCAATACCTGCTACGTAGTACTGGGCTGCACCATCGGGGAGGGGTTTCTGCCGATCACAGAATGTGTGCACTCCAGCTGAGGGACTCTGCTTCATGCTTTTTCTGACCAGAAAGAAGAGAAGTTTTATCATTACAATGTACAACTGCCAGGCTTCAGCCTGTCCGGAGAGAGACTTCTCATTCACTCATAAGGGCATGGTCATAAATTAAACACTTGTGCAACTACAAACCTGTCCCAAGCAACCACAAGAGTGCCAGGAAGTTGCACTTACCCGTGTCTAAGGGATGCTGGGAGGGAAGAAAACTTAGTACCATTGCCCAGCTGAGATGGATCATCACCAGCTCCTCTTGCTGCTCCCTTCCCACTATGCAAGGCCTCTTTCAGATCTTGTGTTACTCACTTCTCTGTCAAGAAGGTCCTATAAGTGATAGTCACCATTACCTGTGGTTGTGGATCATGCGTATGTCATACAGCCGCACGAAGGGCCCACTAGCACCCACTGCTAGGTAATTGTTATCCTGGGGGTTGACAGTGAGGCATTTGGCCTCCACCAGCTGCCCACAGTATTCAGTTAGGTCTATCAGGACTTCAGAGCGTTTGCTGTTCTCTCGCAAATCATACTGTCTACAAAAAGTAAAAGACAGATTTAAGTAAGCCATGGCGGTAGTAGAGAACCAGGACAGTAACAGTATGAAGCTTCTCTCCATGCAGAGAGAAGAATTCGCGCAACACAATCTTATTACTGCTAGACAGTAGCCTAGTTTTTATAAAAGGTCTGTATCGTGCAAAGAGGAAGAGAGAAGGGACTCTTTCCTAAGGGCCTCTACTACATAATGGTTATTTTCATCTTGTATCCCAAGGTATGGGACACCCGATTTAATGCACTAAACCTCAACATCTGGATAACCATCATTCTTAACAAGTCTATTTCGCATGGGGATTTTAGTTAGCACCAAAAGGAACGCCAAGTCTTGATCTCATGTGCATCAGATCCAGCATGAACCCTGGAACAAATTCTCCAACGGCACTCTCTTTAGTCATTTTAGAGTCTCTTTGATGATTCAAGAGCACAAATCGCACAGGACATGCATCTCACCTTCCATTCTTCGCATTTATGCAATAATATCCTTTACTTAAGTTGAACTGCTGTTATTTTTGCCAAGAGCGATTAAAAATAAGTTTTCACATAGGGATTGTCTCCTACTAGATCTACGTATAACACCAAGCATGATGGAGCCCTGGTCTGATATTGCTATGATGTTTCGAAGCCAGTAAGAATTAAATAAAGGTCAAAAGCAGCAATAAGAATCAGTAACTGATGGGTGATCCAGTGTTTTCCTTCATCATTTAACTGAACTGCCAAGCTAGCAGGAGGGAGCATGGATGTATGAGCGCTACAGGTATCAGCGACTGTTCAAATAGGTTTTTCCCACCACCAAGAGATGTACCCTGAAATGACCAAAAGCTATTTACCTGATCAACCCATCCTCTGCTGCACTCCAGAACGTATTGGGCCACATGGGAGCCGTGGCAATGCGCTTCACCCTGTTGGTGTGATCACCAAACATGTGGATGGTTTCCTTGACAGTCAAGTCATGGACATGCACTTTGGAGTCTGCAGCTCCTGTAATGAGGATCCGATCACCTGAATGCGGCAAAAACTGTGGAAAGCAGATTGGTTATTCAGACCAGGAAGCGCTTTGGACTCTTCACACGCTGCCCTCCCTCTGACAGAGGAGGGACACACAATCACAAGACAAAGCATCCTTCACAGTGACCTAGTCTCAGCTGGCAACTGCCAGAGCTCCCTTTACAACAAGCTGCTGCAGCCAGAATCGCCTCCTGAAACAATGCTGAGATCATAATACACAACAGTGCAAGATGACAGGAGCGCCTATCTGTACAAGTCAAAGCTTTTTTGGTGGAAGGTTACTCTTATTTGCAAGAGGCAGAGCAACTCTTGCCATGTCAGAAAGCCCGAGACCGAAAATCTAGAGAGAGAGTTTTGCATTCTCTAATAAGCCATATGCACACGCAGTTCCAGCTATTGCTGCTTGCCCTCAGCCTACAGCAGTGACCAGGCAAATGGAGCTTTTCTTTCTATTAAAGAAGATGTTACTAAATTGAGAGCAAGTCTGTTTTCAAAATTTCAGTCAGTTAAGTCCCATTTCATAGGAAGATGCAAACCAGTCAGACCGGTGGGCAGCTATCCAAGCTACAAAGGCTTTCACTCACCTTGACAGAGAAGATGTTTGCAGTATGTCCTGTGTGCATGGAAAGAAGTTTCTTGTGATGCAATGGATCCCAGACAATGGTGTGCTGGTCATCAGACCCAGAGGCCAGCAAGCTGTAAAATCAAGAGGAGAGCGCTACACACACTGCTCCATTCCTGGCTGCGTTTAACTTCTCATCCACTCCTCCTGCAAGTTAACCCATTCACAACTAGGACTCAGGATGTATTGCAGCAGCTCTCAGACATGAATTCAGCGATTTGCAGGTTGCTTTCTAGGTAGGGGGGAGTGGGTACCTCAGGAAGAGGATACTGTAAGTAGCAGAACACATCAGCAGCAGAAGGTGCACAGGATGAGAGATCATCAGGTGGTGATCCCTGAGCTGTCAGGACTACAGACCAAGAACTGCTGCCCTGAAGCCAAATTTCTCCTTCAGGTACATGAAGTTCCTGTGATCTAAGTGGATTTGGGTAGACAGTGAGCAGAATGCGTCTCTGGGCTACCTAGAATGTCTTTCTTCCACTTGGTTATTTTCTATGTGGGGAAAACTACACACGGATGATAATGGAAAGAAGGGAGTTATTAGGTGGATGGAGTGAATACCGCATCCATGTAATGTGATCCCCCCCAGAGTACTCTGAGCACAGAGCAGGGAAAAAATCTGCCATTCTAGTCCCAAATCAGAAGGATACAGCCAGCAGAGACCCACTGGGTCCTGACACCAGCTTACTAGCATCCTGGCCCTCCAGGACAGGACCTTACATTTGTCAGCAAGCCTAGTTCTCTTCTAAACTGACAATCAGGTCATTTCCAGTGACCTCCAGGTCCAAACAACAAGACAAGAGCCTCTTCTTGAAACCTGGACTCTGCTACAGTTCAAAAGCTTCAGCCCAAGCCCTCATTTATTTTACTGGGACTAGAAAGCAATTGCTTATATGATGTGCAGCCTGCTTTTGAGAAAGCCTGTGTTAGTTGCGTCATACCCAAAGCCCAGCACATACTTACTCTCCTTTTTCATTCCACTCCAGGCAGTTAACGCATCCACCGTGACCCTGAGCAAAGAAAGGAAGAGAACATTACACAAATTGCAGATTTCTCAAATAGGACTGTTCCAAGACAAGGGCACAGCAAGCTCCCCACACAACTCGCTTTCATACAAGCAGCTTTTAATTTCAGCTTCACAGAGACACCCACCCACACCAGACAGGCACTTCCAGGAAAGAAAGACACACTGTAACAGCTGGGGTGGGGGGGGAAGGATATTTAGCACTGAACAAAATGACAGCTCAGCCTCAGGAGGTAAAATCCTGCTGTGCACAAGGAAAGGTGACCATTTCCAAAGCTCTTGGACAAGCTGAGATCACATGCACAGATCCTGAGGGCAGTAGAGGAAAATGCACTTTCAACACCTGTGAGAAGCATCTTGCTGTTGGGTGATCATTACTTAATACCCTTTTTGTCCTATTCAACAAAGCCTATTAACAGGAAAGGCTGGAGAGTGCCATCAGTAATCTGGGGTGGGGATTGGGCTGAGAGGAGAATGGAGAAAACTAAAATTCCACCAATGTGGAAACTCACTCCTTGAGATCTTTAACAAGTTTTAGGAGCTTTAGACTGCAATGGGACAGTTCATTCATCTGCTTCTGGAAACACTGCTACAGTTCTAGATGTCATGCAATTAGACTATCTGATTTCTTGTCAACTAGGAGATAAGAGATTTCCCTACAGAGATTGTCAGCCACAGTGAAGATTAGCTGACAAGCCCTGGTCAAGACAAAATGTGCTATAGGAGCATTAGCAGAAGAACCTGCACATGGAAAAGCTAGCAGAAACTTACAGCACTATGCTCAGCGCACCTTGAACAAACTGGTGTGTCTCTACATACACATAGAGACATATGAGGGTTGGAAGGGACCTCAGGAGGTCACATCCAGTCCAACCCCTGCTCCAAGCAGGACCAGCCCCAGCTACATCATCCCAGCCAAGGCTTTGTCTAGCCTGGTCTTCGAAACCTCCAAGAATGGAGACTCCACAACCTCTCCAGGTAACCTGTTCCAGTGCTTTACTACCCTCCCCATGACAAAGTTTTTCCCAATATCTAACCTCAACCTCTCTTGCTGTAACTTGAGCCTATCGCTGCTTGTTCTGTCATCTGCCCCCACTGAGAACAGTCCAGCTCCATCCTCTTTGCAACCCTCTGCAGGGAGTTGAAGGCTGCTATCAAATCCTGCCTCAGTCCTTTCTTCTCTGAACTAAATAAGCCCAGGTCCCTCAGTCTCTCCTCACAAGTCATGTGCCCCAGCCCCCGAACCATTTTTGTTGCCCTCCACTGGGCTCTCTCCAATATGTCCACATCCTTTCTGCAGTGAGGGGCCCAAAACCGGATACAGGACTCCAGATGTGCTGAACAGAGGGGAAGAATCACTTCCCTCAATCTGCTGGCAATGCTTCTACTAAGGTGGCCTAGTATGCCATTAGCCTTTTTCGCAACCAGGTCACACTGTTGGCTCATATTCAGCTTATTGTCCACTGTAACCCCCAGGTCCTTTTCTACAGAGCTATTGCTTAGCCAGTTGGTCCCCAGCCTGTACTGGTGCATGGGCTTATTCCATCTTAAGTGCAGGACTTTGCACTTGTCCTTACTGAACCTCACGAGATTTCTTTTGGTGCAATCCTCTAATTTGTCATGGTCTCCCTAGATCCTAGGCCTACCCTCCAGGACACCTACTACTCCCAAAAAGTTTGTTCCAAATGTTGTGTATATAGATTCAAGTAGACCCAGAAGGCAGGTTTGTTTCTTTTTGGCATTTCCCACTTACCTGTAACTCTCCTTCTAGGCCCAAACGTCGGATGAAGGGGTCAGTGACATGGTAATGTCGCTCAAAGCCCAATGCACCTTTTTCCTATATGTGGAAAAAACAACAAACCCACATATTGCATTTAGTTCAGCAAACACAGAACCCTTCTTACCCTTAACACAGACGTCAATTGTAAAATGCACTCAGACACCTTCCCAGTGCCTCAAACTGTTCCCACTACTGGCTGGATGCCTTTCCTCTGCTAAGCCCGCATCTCTCTCAAACTAAAGAAGGCCTCATATTGTATTCCTTAGTTCAGGAGTAAAAAGGGGGCATATGAGGC